GTTTGGTTATTTTGAAGAGTTACTCACCCTTGAGTACCTCTTATTAAAAATAGAAGTGTGGTCACAAAGCGTGGATGTAGCGCGGTGGGTTAGGCCGGCTATAGAGCATGCTCCGGACGTCCTCTCTGGTGGGTTAGGCAGGAGTGGGAGTATGATTTCGTGCGGTTTCTATGAGAGGTCCTGTTATGTGATAACGTTTTATGTCGGGTTTGTGGTGATTTTTTATTATGTTTCGTTGGTTATGTCCTTTTTCGAAATCAAATTGTTTTTGGTATGGGTTTGTCTTTCGACTTTTTTGTGTTTTATTATTTCTTTCTTAGACTTTATAATAGTCTTCAAAGAAAAATTATCCAGTTTTAAACTGGGTTAATCCGTTTGGGTACCGTTGGTTTTCTTTTCTTAGTCATGCTGTTATTTTATGATTTGTGGTGTTTAGTAAGCTGCGTTGGTTAGTTTGGTTCAGTATATAATTCCTTTCCAACCGGGTTAAAGGAAAGTTTGAAACTTCTTATCGTGTGTTAGAGTTGTTGAGTGTGAAAACTTGAACTTAAAATCATTATTTAAACAAATCTTCGTGGTCGAGCTGTGCGAGTTTGGATAGGATTCTTGTGCGATTGAATGAAAATATCAAAAGGTTAGTACTGCTTTCTCATTTTATCAATTTATTGCGTAGAATTAGAATTTTACTGCTTTTGGGGGAAATTTAAAATTATAAATTTTCATCGTAATTAATTTTACCGCTTCATGGGGAAGTAATTTATAGATTAATTTACTACATTTGGTATAAATTTTATTACATTATTTAGTGCAAGAAATTAATGAATTTTAAGATAATTTTAACAAGTTTGTATTTTTATTTTTCTTTTCTGTTTTTGTAGGTGATTGTGGTGTGAAGACTAGAAATATAAATGAAACATTAATAGAAAATGCTTAGTACTAATTTAAATTTATTAGTTAAGAGTATTTTAAATTATACTTACCTGTTAATCGTCTGGGAAAAAGCCGTGGGGGAAGATGTCGTGTATCATATCTGATGTTGTTAGTAATTTGGATAGTATGCGAATGATGTTTTTAGTTTAGAGCAGTGGCCAAAGCAATTGAAGTGCTTTAATGGTTTTTAGTTCTTCGGTGCCTACTGCAAACTCGTAAGGTGTGTTTTGATTGAGGTTATATATTTTATGATTATATTTAGTATTGTGAATGAATTCTAATATTGGTATTTCTATAGGCTGGATAAATTCATTCGGGATAAGGAAGGGTCTGGATTCTACTGCATTAAAGGTCTTCGTGATGGGACAAAATATATACATTTGGGTTACTGGGTCATAGTTGCGTAGGCTGCCGTGGAGGTTAGTATCTTCCGTCCTGGAACTTCTTCGACAAGAGAAACCGGACAAAAATATGATGTTCGCCAAATACCAACGTTCATCATCCATCCTTCAAATTGCAGAAGGATAATTCTAAAAAAACTCTGTAAAACCCAGATGGATGGAACCTGATCTAAACTACATTTTATAATTGGATAAATTGGATATTTTACCACTGTAAAATATTCAATATTAACCAATCATAATCCATCTAACTAACAACTCACTTATTTGTAAGCGCTGAAATTACTTGTAATTTCAGCACCAGAGAGATTTGAATTTAACTTGTTTTTTTTTTTTTTTTTTTTTTTTTTTATTATTATGATTATTTTTTTAGCCCCCAGCCTGCTCAGTGCAGGACCAACCGTGGGGGAGGGGGAGATGTCATCCATTTTGCCGCAGCCGGTCCCACCTTGAGGAGGCGGATGACACTGGGACCCCTCCAGCCGTGACCGAAGCGGGATTTAACTTAGAAATTAGTTGCCTCTCCAAGAGAACTTCAGCTGCCGCAATAAACCAGTATACCCTAGATCTATTGAGCCTAGCAGAGACTACTTAAACACCCTGAGACTAGTAAGTATAAGAGTAAGATTAGGATCGGTATTAGACTAAGAAGTTGCACGAATCTATCCGGCCGAAAAAAGGATAGCGTGACGAGCAGACGGTGTACCCTATCCGAAATTACTCTATGAGTTAACCACATCGGTCATAACTCAGTTATTTTGCGTAAATTGGAAAACGTTGAAACTAGGATGGTTTGGGAGCATGTTACTTTGATCCCTAGAGCGGATTACACAGACAGTTGCAACCGAGTTGTAATTTTCGACCTCAGAAAACTCGATTAGGCACAAGATCTCTTTTCACAATATAAACACAAAATGCCATTTTCGATATTTCTATGTAAAACAATTACATAGAAATATCAAAGCTCCTTGCAATGTTTCAGAAAATGTCCACATTTGGGAGTTTTGAAAAAAACGGGCAGCTAGACACATACTGCTAAAATTGTCAGCATTTATGGCTCTATGTAGCCCCCTTACTTTACCCCCCCCCATCTACTCCACCCCTTGTCAGTTAACCACAACTGTCATTCGCCCCCATATGGTTGATCATGGGGGGTCATATATTCGTAGACTTGTGGGTGGTTGATAATTAGCCCAACCCCCTCCCCCTTACCCCAGTTTACCCCCCCCCCCCCACCAGATTATATGCCTGATCGAGTTTTCTGAGGTCAAAAATTACAACTCGGCTCCAACTGGTTGAAATTGATTTTGAAAACCACCATAGGAGTCGTGTCTGAGAAGACCCTGGTCGGAAGTCAGCCATCAATGCCCTATTACTGCCCTATTTTGCATCTTACTGCCCTATTTTGCATTGTAAATCAGTGCAGTATTGTGCTTCTGAGCGCCGTCGCTTGGCTGACGTCTGACCCAGTCATCTCATATATGATTTCGATGGCGGCCTTTTAAGTTGATTTTTCGCAATCGTGTAGAAGTTCTGAATTTTGATCAGAAAACATATCAACGAAAATGTGTTGAATATGTGTTTTCTCGCACGTGTAAAATTTTATTTTTTCGAGGAATTGAAATTTTGCTGACGACAGAACGTGTAGAAACTTGTGAGTGATCACAATGTGATGACAGAACTGGAGTATGTATACTTGGAGAATGTTTCCATCAGAAAAACAGGTTTTTTGGCGTTTGAGACAACTCTCCCCCATGGTTTTGATTCATCTAGGAGTAGGCTTCGGAAATTTTTGCTCTCTCAAGAGTTGAGGAGATTCGCCTGCAGATAATGAATAGTTTGAGGTTGCAACCTCTAAAACCCTCTGATTTTTCTCAGGTTTTCTTCTCTGTTCAGATATTGCACGTCTTATGGGGTCAGTTAAAACGCTAATTGTGCCTCATTTGAGTTTTCAAAAAATGTTTTTCGTACAATTTCCAGAAATAAAAAAATGCTTATCTTATCATTTCCATATATAAAAAAACGTTTATCATACAATTTCCATATATATGAAAAAATGCTTATCCTATAGTTTTCTTACAATTTTTTGAATCTATGAAACTGTAGGAAAAGCATTTTTTCATATATGGAAATTGTAGGATAAGCATTTTTTTGGTCTAATTAAGTGGATTGTCTAAATTTCTATTTGACTACGCACCACCATCAAAAAATTACATTATTGTTGTAAATCCAAGTTTTCCTAAAAGTTTTTCTCAATTTTTTCCAAAATAATTCCATAAATGGAAAGAAGCTTATCATAGATACCATGAATTTATGTACGTTTGTAATTGTGTAGCAATCACTTTTAGACATATCAAAAAACTAAAACATGATAATCAGCTCAATAGTGAACCTTGCTCTCTAAACTTCAAATCATAAACTTTAATTTGAAAATAGTCTTGAAATCACGTAATGATTTACTAATGTCGTCGAAATGTTTGTACAACCTTGTCATATTTTTGATACATGTGCTCGTTCATTTTTAACAAACGAATCAAGGTTGCCACATTCTATCCGTTCCTCTTGTTCGAGGAACAGTCAACTTATGTGAAGTGCTGTTGCTGTGAAAACTTCCGCCTGTAGGAGAAAGAAGCAGTACGTCTCGGTCTTTCTCATCCACCGCCGCCGCCGCCGCCGCCAATTTACTCTTCAGACTCATAATTGAAGAGCAAATAGCCTCACTCTTTTGCTTTTGCTCATTTTTTGCTTCTACTTGTTTGAGAAGCGCCCCGGATTCACTTCTGGACTTGATGGGGAGGCCTAAGAGTTGTGACAGGTGCTGAGATGACAAGGCTGTAGTTCTTCGTTTGCAACTCATCTGATTACTTCTGGCACCATTCTTGGTTGTTTCTGTTTTCAATTCAGACACGGGATCAGAACCTAACAAAAGCAGAACAGGCGTCAATTAGTAGTCAACGAAAATCAACAAAAAAAACAACAGAAACAGAAATTTGAAACGAAAACATTTTTGTGAGCTGAAAAAATCATTCTGAGTTAAGGTCCGGGGTGGCTCACTCATAGAGTAATTTCAGATAAGGTATACCGTCTGTTCGTCACGCTATCGTTGTTTCGGCCGGATAGATTCGTGCAACTTCTTAGTCTAATACCGATCTTAATCTTACTCTTATATCTCCTAATCTCAATAGATATAGAGATATACTGGTTTATTTCGAGGTTAAAGGAAAGAAGAATAAAGCAACTGATTTCAATCTTTATTATTAATTCTTTGACTGAAACTACGAATAGTTTCAGCTTTACAGTTTCTATCCTAAGTTTTACTCAGTGATCATGATTGGTTAGTTATTATAAAATAGTATAAAATACCAGAGTATAAAATAAATATCTATCCTAAACTGGTTCCATCAGTTTTTTTGTTCCTTGACACTCATTTATTCGTTGTTTTTAGGATATAAATCAAAGACCATAGATTTACAATGAGACCTATATGTAAAAAAAATTGTATTCAATTTCTCATGATTATAAGAACATTAGTTTTAACAAATGATTTTTTCAAAATGTTTTTAAATACTTTTCTTTAGAAATTTTCAATGATACACAAAGTAAACGGAAAAAAGTTAAGAAAATGGATTCGAAGTGCGCAACTCTCTCAAATTTTTGAACCAACTTTTTGACACATTTTTTTGTTAATTTTTTCAGGGGCGGATCTAGGATTTTCTCGATGGGGGGGGGGCGGATTTACAAAAAAATGTTGAAAACTTTTTCTACCCTCTTTTTAGGTCGACCAAATTGATTTTTTGAGCTCTCCTTGAGCACGCCTTGGCCCCTGTTTTGGCCAAATTTTCTGCGCCGCAGGCAAAGTTTAAAAAAAAACAGTCCAAAAAGGCGTTTGTAGGCAATTTTTGGAAAATTTTGACCAAAAAGTTGTGCTTTTTGGTGCGCTCTTCCCCCTCAAAATTAGTATATATTGGCGCCAAAATTAGTATATATTTCTTAAAAAGTACCAAAGGGGGGACCCTTTGGGTAGACAGGGGGTCAAATCCCTGAAGGGAAAAAGCGTCTTCCCCCCCCCCCCCCCCCCCCGCCCCTTCCCTAAATCCGCCCCTGAATTTTTTTATACTACTTCGAAAGATCTGTTAAGTTCTACTAGTGGCGTAAGCCCCAATTCCACTTGTGCGTCCAATCATTTTCTCAACAAACTTTGGCTGTCAGCCACTAACCTTTTGACCGACCAGAAAATGTCTGCTGTGAAAAATTGCAGTTCAGAATTATTAAGATACTTGCTTTTCTCAAATTTTTTAACAAGTTTTAGGTCTAAATTGGCAAAAATGATCAAAATGTTCTAAATGAGGAGTTGTTTATAACCTGATTTTTTCTCATCTTTTGATGGCGTCCTACTCATATGTCCATGGAGGTTATCTTTAGAGGGCCATCTGTGGACAAAATCAACTTCCTGTTCCTGTGCCTCATCATGGCCGCCGCCGCCGCCGCCGCCGCCGCGACCACTGTTCACAACAGACATTGCAGACAATGTTCCCCAGCTCCCGACTGGCCGATTCCGAGTAGTTGGCGGTGTAAACCTTATCTCACTCTTTTTCCATGCTGCAGATTCACCTCTCGATCCACTTCTTGCCGTTTGCCTTGGCGGGGGGGTTTTGTTCACCACTTGAACCCCGAAATCTGGAATACTTCTTGTACCATGTTCACTGTTCGAATACAGCGATCTCAGTTTCTCTTGGATGACTGAAATGTCACTGGGGTTCGATTTCAGTCTTTGTCTCAGGGTGCTCAGTGGTGTTTTGCTGTCGAAGGCAGGGGTGGCGGAAAGCCGGCAAGACTTGCGAATTACTCCGCGAGATGGTTTGGGAGTCGTGACTTCTGCTTCGCCATGCGCCACTCCCTCATCGACCAAAATATCAATGCACGCCATTCCAGAGCCCGACTTCGCTGAAAGCCTGAAGAAAAAGCGGTGTTTTTTGCAAGTAATTGGAAGCTCCTGGTCTGTGTCATAGATATGTGGAACCAATTTATAAGGTATTACATGTTTTACCACACGTCTTGCGTCATACCTAACAGCAACGTTGATCCGTTCACTAAAGCTTTCAATCTCTTGAGTTATCTAATAACTTACAGTATTAAAGAATTAGGGACAAGATCTTTAACTTTTAATTTCATTTTTTGTTTTTCCAACGTTCAAACCTCAAATCAGTTCAAAAATTCATTTGCCATATGCTTTTGTTTTCTTTTTCATAATCACTACTGTGCTAATCAAAATAACAGGCCATATTAGTTATGATCATTGTAGTTACTAAAACTGTGACAACCTATTGGCTCTACCCGGGTCAGGCGCTCGAGTTATGTTTCAGCTTCCTCGACAAAAACGCTGCTTGTTTCGTTTTCTCGACTTTCTCGGTCCAATTATTTTCTTTATCTAGTTTTCGAAACGGCATATATATATATTTCGAAAGTGGGTGTGTTTCGACAGTAGTAGTACAAGAGTGAGGCGACAGGGGGGTGCCGGTGGCCCCCATGTTTTAAGATAGGGAATAGATTTCCGGGATTGCTGGCTATCTATTAGGACAGGAAATAGGTTTTTTAATGCATTAAGATAGGTTATAGGTTTTCCAACGTTTTAAGATGGGGAATTGTAAGGTTTAAATGGTAAGAGAATGGTAAGAAAAACCATTTTTTTGGGTTTTTTTCCGCAAAAATCTCGATCGCGTTATGTAATTGATGAGTATCATTATGACGTGTTGTTTGTGTAATGAAGGTATTTTGTTTTTTGGTTCATGGTACGTCAATGGTAATATGTGCCAAAACTTGGATTTTTTATCAAAAAAATTGAAAATTTTTTCAAAAATCTTCGAAACACAATAAGATTTGATAAAATTTGTCCTAATATTCATTTTATTAGATGATGTTACTCTATTAAAAAGTGTTCTATCTACCTGAAACTATGCTGAAACTTATGCTGAATTTTCCAAATACTCAGAAAAGATTTCAGCATTGCTCAAAATTTGAAAACTGTTACGTTCACGTCATCAAAGAAGACTCAGCATCTGTCCAAAACTTATCTTTTTTACTCTCCTTATCGCTTTTTCTACTAATTTTCTGTTTTAGAGAACATCTATGTTGTAAAAAACATCAGTTCAAAAAATTTAATTTTAAAATAAGTTTAAATTTTTTTGAAAGTTTCATTGATTCAATTCTTCAGAACTAGAGTTTCATTGAATTTTATTTCGTTCAAAAGACACAAAATCGAAACCATTATATACAAATCCAAAAAATCGAGGTGAAGTGTGATTACTGAGAATTATTCAATTTTCTGGTAATTCACCATAAACACATGTTTTATCCGAGTTTTTATCACAATTATCATCCTAGGTTCGTATAAGAAACAGATTTGGAGAAGTTTTCTATGAAAAATTTCAAAAACTGTACCTGTTTCTTAACAAAAAACGTAGATGTGTATTTTCTTCTATTAATCTGAAGTTTTCAACATATTCATCGGTTCTAGTCCTGAATAATACTTGTTTTTTCTCAAAACTATTTGTACAGCAGAGCTTTGTAGTAGTTTTTTTGACAAAACAAATAAACAAATAAAGTGAACAGAGATTTTGTTTTTTGCTTTATCTACTTTCCTCCAACACAATTGTTTTTGTTCGACAATTAACACTAGAAAGACAATTTAATGAAAAAAATGTATCAATGAATTGATCAATTTCGTCTCCAAATCAGTTTCAAAGGAAATCTGCTTGCAAACTCTAAAATTTCCATAATTTCACTAGCTCATATAACGAAACGATAGAAACAAAAACTCAATTAAAATCTTACAATTTCCATATTTAAGAGTGTCGGCTTCTGATTTTTTCTTAGACTATTACTCATAACCTAAACTCAATAACAATTTTCTCAAAATTCACAAATAAGTAGAACGATCTTCAACATTGTTTTCCTGTAAACACAAAGTTAACACATTTTCGGTTTCTGCTTGATCTGCCCTCTCTCAATTTGAGTGTTTTCCAATACAGTTTGTTTAAATTTTTGCTCAAGAAATGAAATTTAGATAGAAAACGGTATCATTTGAACGAACAATCTCTAGTCCAGGGCAAATTTCGCATCAAAAAACCGAACCAGATAACTGTTTTTTCTTCTAACTTCCCTTGTGTTTATGAAGCAATTTTCAGTTCAGATTGATCCATTTTCAATTTGGAAGTTCTAGCAAGATCATCCTAAGTTTTTTTCTTTTCTTCGTCAATTAATAAATACTTTTCTAAAATCGTTGGAAAGCGATAAAAAATTACGATTCTCAATAGCCTTCAAAAATCTGCATAAAACACGGTGATGTATAATTGTGTTCATTTAGCTAAGCTAAGCGATAGCTAGGCAAAACAACTCAACAATTCAATGAGTCGATGTTTTAAAAAAAATCAAGTAATTTTTTATAAAAAATTTTAGCAAATACTTTTCGAATCAATTTTTCATAAAATACCCTTTTACTGTAAATTACCTTTAACAATTTGCTGTAAGGATTCTCTTATTTCAGTTACTTCTGAGATAAAATTTTTGTCGGATCGATTTTCTAAGGGAGTTTTACGACAGTTTGAACTGGATTGTTAAAAAATAAATTCATTTGATAATCTTCTCAATTTTGTTTAAGGTTCTGTATTTCATGGTTTGTTTTCAATCTTTTTCTATAACTTGATTTTTTGATTGGCCAAAACAATACAATCTCTTGTGTGTCTTCACTTGAGCTCATTTCTTTCTTAAAAGGGTATTTTTGCTTGATTTCGAGAAAACAAAATAGATATTTCCGTGGAAAATCAATTAACTGAACAATTTTGACTCGGAGTTGTGTTTAATTTATTGAAATTAGTCCTAAAACATCCGAAATTCTATGTGATTTGACTTAATTTGTCAAATGATATTAAGATAATGTTTGTTTGTCGAAGTTTTCTTTCAGCTCTAACTTATTATCTGAATTGAAGCAAATTGGTCTCAAAACCTATAAAAGAGAAATTGAATTTATATTTTATTTTGTTTGAAAAACTTCGAAATAGGTCTTTTTTAGTTTCTGTCTGATCTACAGTTTTTCAATTGAATCACTTTTTTTTCAAAAAAAACTTGCACGAAAAAGGATATTTTTGTGTAAAATTGTATCATTTCAAAAAAGAAATTGTCCATTGCAAAGTTTCACAAAAAACCCAATTTTGAAGAAGCTTCAGAAAACAAATTTCTGATCCAGATAACTTTAAGTTCTGCTTTAACCAAAACTTTTAATTTTGTGTGAATTTTTGGAACGATTTCAAATGAGATTTTCACGATAGTTTGAATCTGGTTATTGCTTGAATTGGTTTTATCATCAACCAGAACCTTTGAACAAAAACATGAACAAAAAACTATGGATGTGCTCAAAGTATTTCATACCAATTACTAGAATAACTCTTTATCAAAATTTATCAAATGATTAGAATTTTGTACAGATTTCAAGATTTTTTCAGTTTAAAATTTCTCATTAAAAATTTTAATTGCTATGATTTATATGTTCTCATAGAAAAACTTTTAAATGTACCTTCTCGTGGAATGTGTCTGGAAATTGCTGAGCGCTGTTTTCATCACTATGTAGAATACTATTTTCACACGAAGAATGCTTCTGTTTGATATGAAGTTTCAGTTCTTTGCTGCTATATGTATGAAAAAAAACAATTTGGACACTTTAAAACGGCATAGCGCTTATGATGTCTTAATGCTTGTGAGCTCTATCACAAAAAAGACATGCAAATTTTTCAATTATATTCCTTGACGGCATTTTAATTGGTAAAGAAAGAACTTGAGAACAAATGGAGATTTCGAAAGTCCCAAAATTTTAAGAAGGAGATTTGCACTTATTTTCAATTGTTGCAAAAAATGAACAGAAATACTTTAATATTTATGCAATTTTCTTGACCAATTGACTCTTAACCCGAAGGAACATCAGATTGGATTTCATCCGATTTAGTGAAGCTCAATTAAAGTCAACCAATCAGACACGAGCTTTACTTATCGCGGAACTTTCAAAAACTTCGATAACAACCAATCAGAATCGAGTTTTACTCGTCATGGATTTTCCAATAGTTTTGATATCAACGACGCTGTTTTAATCAAAATTTCATTAGATGTTTTCAAGTCAACCAATCAGAAACAAGCTTTTCCTATCGTGGATTTGTTTAAAATTTTGATATCAACCAATCAGAATCAAGCTTTACTTATCAAAGATTTTTCAAAGATATCAAAAATTGACGAGCTTGGGGTACTCTGCTACAACATCCTATGGTTGATTTAACTCTCATGTTTGAATGTTTGAACTTTTTTTGGTAATTACTGGTTTGACTGTCACTGGTACAATCAAAAACTCCAGATCAAACTATTTGACGCGTGATGCAAACCCAGGTCGATAAGCTAACTTTATGTTATGACTTATCGAGCACTAATTCAAAACATACAACGAGCACGGTCGAAGCAGATAACTTTAAGTTCTGCTTTAACCAAAACTTTTAATTATGTTGTGAATTTTTGGATCGATTTCAAATGAGATTTTCACGATAGTTTTAATCTGGTTATTGCTTGAATTGGTTTTATCATCAACCAGAACCTTTGAACAAAAACATGAACAAAAAACTATGGATGTGCTCAAAAAAATTCATACCAATTACTAGAATAACTCTTTATCAAAATTTATCAAATTATTAGAATTTTGTACAGATTTCAATATTTTTTAGTTTAAAATTTCTCATTAAAAATTTTAATTGCTATGATTTATATGTTCTCATAGAAAAACTTTTAAATGTACCTTCTCATGGAATGTGTCTGGAAATTGCTGAGCGCTGTTTTCATCACTATGTAGAATACTATTTTCACACGAAGAATGCTTCTGTTTGATATGAAGTTTCAGTTCTTTGCTGCTATATGTATGAAA